CCTAATATCCTGGCGGAGTTTTCGCGCGGACCGTTATCGTTGTCATCGCCATCACCGCCACTCTTCTCCTCCACAATCCTCTTCGTCGCTCTCCTCTTCCTCTTAGCGTCGACGTTGCGCCGCCACTGCCCGCCCCGTCGGATCGACACGTAGGCGCAGACGGCGCCCGAGAAGACGAACAGCGCGCTGATGGTCGAGAACCAGCCCACGCCGATGTGGTTGATGGCAGGCAGCACGATGGCCGTGCCGCCGCACGCGAACAGGTACCGCATCGCGTAGTTCCCTGCGATGACCTCAGCCCCGCGGCCCGGCATCACGTCGAGACAGTACGTGTTTAGGGACGGGAAGCAGAAGAGCTGCGCCACACCCTGGAGAAACAGTACCACGACCGTCAGCGGGATGCCGCCGACGTCCTTCTCCACGCACCAGCCGTAGATCAGGACGCAGCCGGGGATCACGATGCCCATGAAAGGTAGGGCCGAGTACATGCGATCTTCAGGAATGCGTACACCTCGCTTTTTGATGTACTTCTTAACAATATAGTCCGCGTATCGTCCCCCGACAAACGTGCCGACGAGATACCCGCAGCCGGGAGCGAGATAGAATAGACCGCCCTGCATAGGTGTCGTGAGATGGTACCTAGGATTGATGACGTAGCGGATCGGCGTGAGTAGGGAATACATATTCCAGACCAAGGACGCGCTCGACAGGCCGGTGAGAAATAAGTTCGGATATTCCCATAGCCGTACCACGCGCCAAGGGCTGATCATGCCAAGAACGACCCTGGCTTTCGCGACACCGGTGTAGCCGACGAGATCGTCGATCTTCATGTGGTAGATGGTCTCAGGTAGTAAGAAGTAAGATCCGATGGCGGCAACGCCGGCCAACGCCGATTGTAGCCAAAATATGACGCGCCATGAGGTGTAAGTGACGATGATGCCGCCTATGAAGGGGCCAAGGGCCGGTCCTACCAAAGTCCCGGACAAGAACCAGCCTGTAGCTGTTCCTCGCTCCGTTGGACGGTAAATATCACTAGGTTTTTAGTAAGTAGCCTGGTCATTATATGACGTTGTAGTTCAATGGTAACGAAGGTATTGCTGACCCAATGACGGAAGCACCGACTAAGATGAAGGATGTGCCCTCAAAGGCTGTTAGCAATCTGAAGACGAAGAAAGCCCCTAGGTTAGGCGCGAGTGCTGTCCCGATGCTACAACCGAGAAATCCTACGGCCGTTATGAGGGTTATCTATACGTCAAAACAAGTTAGTTTTTACGTTCTGTCCTTAATGTGTTTCTTTAAGGGGCCATCTTAATAAAGTTGACAATAAGGGATCCTCACTAATCTTCTTCCGTATACTTGGCTTAAGGGTCCCCAGAACATAGGCGACAAGCCCATGAATAACATGTATAGAGCATTGACAAGATTGATGATGGAACCTGTCGTGGAGTACTCGGCCGCTACTTCGGGGGTTGCCGCTAACACGGATGTGCTAGACACGGGTGATAGAAACGAGCAGAACGACAAGAGGAAGACGATAATCAGTTTCCTATGCGCGGGTAGCCGGTCGTAAATTTCGTCCGGTACATCGACCACCGAGTCGACCGGTTCGACTGGCATATCCGGCCCCATGGACTGGTGCGTAGGGTACCGCTCTAGTTCCCCGTCATCGGCGTCGGGCCGCGCCGCCGGCCGTATCGATTCCGTCGTGTCCCCCGAGTGAGTTGAGGAGCTACTCGAAGATAAGCTCGAGGGAGAGTTATGGCCCTGGCCGCCATGACGAGCGGGTTGGAAATCGGTTTCCTTGGAGTCGAACATCTGGAAGAATCGTTGGTGTTTATGTCTATAAATATGAGCTTGACGACAATATTGATGTCATCATAGGCAAAGTCTAGATTAGAAACGACAGCAAGCTTCACAGCTGGCAAGTAACAGACAGACTCTAAGAATCGAGGGTTAATTGTCTTTATTAAGGATCGTCTCTTCTGAACATAATACAGCTATGAAAACTTAGCAGGACGAGAAAGAAATGAATGACTTCATCTAGCATTAACAAGAGGGAAGCACCCCCTATTTACGTGAATACTAACCAATCCCTCGAGGGTAACAGTAATACAACCTGTTGGGCTCTGTATTTCTTTTCGCTCGGTCAATATTGGTCGCCTCTGGGAACAAAAACTTACTACGCCGAGTATCGGTGGGAAACTTGGCCGAACTTAGCTCGATAAGGCATAGCAATGTAATGCTAAATGGCAGTTTAAAAGTTTTAGGTGGATATCGACCGGCTACAATGCCGGTGATGGGGCCCTATTGGTGCATTGTGGTCGTAGTCTCCACGTCCATTAATCTAAGAATTTTGAAGTTTTTGCCAAGGATTCCCAGGCTCGCCAGTAAGCCATCCTCGGTGCCTATTTATGATGGGGTCGTAGGTCATATTTAATGGTAGGGTCCCGTCGAAAGGTCTAGAGGCTCTATAGCGGTGAGGGCCCGATCCGAGACAATGCAAACGGCATGCCCCGGGGTGGCGCCGTAGACTCACGGCATAAAGCCGATGATGATGGTGTTGACGATAGTGGATATTTGCCAGGTTAGCAAATTAGATAGCAATAGCTGGGCGATACGAGATCTCGATAATTTCTGATCTTTCTGATCCTTGTACAACTGTAAATTTTCGTAAAAGTGAGCCGGCCTATCAATGGTGTAGCTAGGGTTTATTCCCGTCCTTGTGCTTCCATACCCGAAAAAGGATCTGCATCTAACTGCATAAGACGAGATCACCACGTCCGTTGCCGCTGCGAAGGGAGCTCCGAACAGAGTCATTTATATGAGTAATTTGTGCTATGACCAAATATAGGCAATTATGGAGTTCGGTGAGCTTTATTAGCTACCGTCCTTAGTGGCAGCATCATGTGAAGAGAAGACCTGGTCCGGTACAAAAAAGGCTGATATTATTTGCCGGCCGGCTGTCGGGATATCATCGTCTGTGATCGCAGGGATGTTTTAGGGACGTTTTCGGCGATCGTAGGGCTTATGGAATAGAGATTCCTTATCTGGTTCCATACATAGTTTCGTAAGGAAATATTGATATGGCGGCATTGAAGTGTATGCCACGTTTGGCCAGTCATCGAGCTTGAATCGCTACGACTTCTTCACCGACAGTAACCAATAATTGATGTTGTGTTGTCGTTTGAGTCCTGCGGTGGTACCTTGGTACATCATGATGTAATTCGAAAAAATTTGGAGATGTGGCTAACTCAGGACAAGCCACAGTTGATATTTGGCGCTCAGACCACATTCGGCAGCCCTCAAAATCCTCCCCTCCATGCCAAGATTAGCCGTGGTTTACCCTTGTCACGCACACATCTCAATTCCGCGCAAAAATCGATTCGAGCAAAGCTTCAACGAAATTATTCCCACACATTAATCATCGACACCATTCAAGACTACAGCCCCCATCACCGCTGTCAAAATGGTAAGTGAAAGAGCAATTCCATTTGGCTTTTTATCGCAGATATTCTATTGCCGGACAAAATTCGCATCATTCTCGGGTCATGTTACGAAGTTCGCAAAGGAGGAAACCCCAGAAACGCCGGTTCAGTTACGAAAACTCAACACGAGACGAACGAGACAATCGGGGCCACAACTAGTATCTCGACTTACATTGCACATAATCCTGGATATGATAAGAGTTGGAAAGCGTTGATCCTACGAATACCGCCTCGTCCTGCGACCGACCGTTTCTGGATGCGAATAGCCACAGTTTACTTTACGATTCGATTACATACGATGGCAAGCTGACAGTATATTTCATCTAGGTCAACATTCCCAAAACCCGAAAGACCTACTGCAAGGGCAAGGATTGCCGCAAGCACACCCAACACAAGGTCACGCAGTACAAAGCTGGCAAGGTAGGTTCAAGCTTGTCCCCACGCGCCCGACCCGTCGACCCCGATCAACGACAACATCCGTATATCCCGACCGATTTCTAACTCGGACATAGGCTTCCCTCTTTGCGCAAGGAAAGAGACGTTACGACCGCAAGCAGTCCGGTTACGGTGGTCAGACCAAGCCTGTGTTCCACAAGAAGGCTAAGACAACGAAGAAGGTTGTGCTGCGATTAGAATGCGTTGCTTGCAAGACTAAGCTACAACTCGCGCTGAAGCGATGCAAGCACTTCGAGCTCGGGTACGTTCGATTACATCATTCTAAGATTAACTTAGTATATACGTGCTAACCGGTTTCCAGTGGTGACAAGAAGACGAAGGGTGCCGCCTTGGTATTCTAAACGCATTTCTCATACTTATGTCGTTGCACGTTCTTCTTTTAGGGCAATAGGGTGGTTCATCATGGCCGGGCATTCACTGGCGACGGGAATCTTTCGATCCTCGGTTTGAGAGCATTAGATAGGTCGAAAAAGAACCGAATCTGCTCTTACGAATTTTGCTATCTATATGTGACGAATGCAAGGATGAAGTGACGATAAGGGTGTATACATGAATGACTATATGGTTCTTGGAAGTAAGACTGGCTGGTTCGGGCATCCGCATTGTGATATAGGCCTCTAATTTCCATGACGGCGCCTAAAAGCTGGACGAAAAATGGTTTATCGGAGGGTTGCCTTTACTCCTAATAATGCACGGTCTAACTTGCAAGAACCTCGATATATACGACCGTTGGCCTTATAATGTAAACCCCTGATGATATCAACGATTCTTAGAATTGACTCTATCTGTACTACTTAGTGTGTTATGATGAGTAACATCTACTATTATCATGGCTGCTTGTGTGTGTTGGTAGTCTAGCAATGGTGAAGATCTCGACCTTCATATAGAGGGAACATATAAAGGTTAAGGGATATTGGGTACATGGATAGGTATGTCATGAATTACTAGGTATATCTATTAGGTACCTATGTATAATAAAAAGGTCGACGAGAAAGGGCAAAGGGAAAAGGAATGGTAAAAAAAAAAAAATCTCGAATTCGAGACTTCAAAAAAATGAATTGCACCCACCGGGACTTGCACCCGGGTTTCCCCCATACCTTTATTAATGGGAGGGGGGCGAGTTAACTTCTACTCCATAGATGCCTAAGTCATATTACAGTCAGGACAGCAGTCCTGTTTGGATGTCTGGACTAGCGATTATCGTTTCCTATAAGTCTTTCGTCGGCAACCGGTTGCCGGGTCAAGTCCGGGGCGCCGGCGAAGAAAGACGGAAGGAGCGCGTGAAAGGGTCGTGATGGACGCGTCTATGTCACGTACCTGCCTCCTTCGCTCTTTCCTTAGTAACTTGAGCCTAAATTTTGGTATCTCTATTAAAAGGTTCATGGATTCGGGCCACCAAAGTCACTATTCATTATATTTGAGACTTGTTATTCCCAGTTGTGTAGAGTTGATGTTGTCTACCTAGGTATCTATGATTTAAAATACCAAATCTAAGGCATGGTGCTCTTCTTTTAAAGGATCTCTAATTTAATCAAGCCAAGATCTAACAATAGGTCTCTAGAATCCCTCACCCGTCTGAACAGTTCGACCACCACCATACCACAGAGTACCAACTCGAACATCCAAGCCCCTCTCCTGTCCCACAAGCCACTCGCCCACCAGTTCCGAGTTGGCGTTATCCCATACTTCAGCCTCCAACCAAGCATTAATCTCGTCGATAGCATCAACCCACTTCTTCCTCAGCTCGGGAGTCGCATGGTCCTCCTCCGTCAAGTACCGACCTAACGTGATATGTGCGCTCGGCACTATATACCGCGAAGTAACCGTAACCCCGGCCTCCTTTGCCTGCTGCCACACGTCGCGACGAAGATGATGGTACGTGTACCCGTCTCCTTGCTTAAGTACCTCGACGGCATCAGGGGCCGTGGGGGCGGGAGAAAGAGGTGGTTCGCCGGCGGCTGGGAGGAATGACAGCGCAAAGGCCGACAGGTCGTACGAAATCATGGGCTTGACGAGGCGAGACCGGTGCCGGTATGTAAAGTTCGCGATGTCCGGGATGGCGGGCCGGAGGCTTTCCTTGAGCGCTTCAATCTCCTCGGCGGTTCGGGAGAAGGCGATTTCGAGGGTGGTGATATGCATCCGATGAAGGGGCATGAGCCATATTTCTGTGTTATGTTAGCGCGATTACATAGGATTTGAAAGAAAAGGGGCAATGCAAGTATGCTGTTAGAGTCTCCGCTCCATATCCTGAGCGATGTTTGATTTTATTGTTACTCGTGGAGACATAGACTTGGTTTGGGCTCTTCTATCTCAGGATATACTGCTAACATTTTCTGGTACTTGACTTCCCCCTTCCTCTCCTCCCTTCAACTAAGAAAATTTAGCTTACTTGGTGCAATGGCTTTGAGCTTCTTCTGAATGGCATCTGCAAGCTCTAACACATGGATCGGAGGTCGACCCCAGAATGTCATGCAGTATCTCATATCTTTCTACTGTTGGTTAACATTCCGGCCCACGGTTCGACACTTCTTCTAATCAAGAGCTATTCTAGGCTGGTAGATATGAGGGTGAATAGGGTATAATATTTAGAAAAAAAATATTTTTCACATACTACCAAAGCATTAGCACTTATCAAATTAGGCGGGGCGCCATGGTCGGCCTGGGAGATGTAAACTCCTTTTTACCAGCCTGGTGTGTGTTGTACTAACCGAAGCCTGGCACGAACTGTGGGTTCTCTAATCGCAAGAGAAACGGATCAATAATCAACTCCTTATAGTCAGAGGCGAGGAACTTGTCTCTCTGTTGCGCATTGCGCTTAACTCGGTGTGCGGCATATAATTCCTGGATTTTCACCTACGAATCTATTAGCTTACGGATGAAAAGATGTTGTTAATAATAAGCCCTATTCTTCTGCCTTAGCTGAGAGGTGTTATTATTAAAATTGCTTGAGGCTGCCTATGTTTCCTTCCGTAATATAGCTGCAAGATAGGGGCGGACTCACTGGTTCGTCATTGCAAGCCTCAATCAGCGCATTATATGGGTTTTCGCCCGGCTTCAGGACCACTCCGGATAAATCCTCTAACTTATTCTTGATATCCGTAGACTCAAGGACGGACCCCATCTTGAGTCAAACACTAGGCGTAACAAAAGATTTCTTGACACAGGATAAAATATTAGGTAGTGAAGAGTGAGTAATTTAATAGATCTAACAGTAGCTAGACATCAAAACAAGCTGCGATGCGGCTGAGCTGCTAACACTCGTCGAAGTGGGCTAGTCAAGGGACGAGGCGTCCTAATGCGACGGCGGTCATCAAATAGCAAGCTACAGCGAACGTAATCAGAAGCGGCCCACTCGTTCTAAAAAAAAATACACAGAACCCTGAAAGCGGCTATCATATAGCGCCTGTATTCCCTCGATGGAATAGCTATCCTTGGAAAGATTCAGGAATCATTCCAAGCAGATAGCTTGAGTAAATGGAAAAAAGGGGGCGGGGAAGAGTTGAAATAAAAACCGCTAAAAACGCCAAAAGCGCCACTTAATGTAAGCATCCTTGGCGCCTCGGTTAGCGCACCCCTTTTCTGCAAGCTACTAAGCACGTGACTATAAACCCTATCCTGACTTCATTTATTTAGTATCGCAAACAACTTCCTTATACCACCTATACCACCAATCCTATTCATGATAATCCATGTAATGGTAAACTTCTATTACCTACGAAAGCTTGAGATGGATGACATCCCGGTTTTATTCATTATTTCATGCCTGGAAATGAGATAATACCTTATGGTCTAGCGACTTGCCCCAGGAAAGCTTCTGGACTCAAGTGAATGATAGGCAAGAACTTTTCAAGACTGTCTTTGTCTATGGATTGAATCACATCGTGATCACAAGCCCCATCATTTGGCGGCCTTTATGGATATCACACACAAGTTCATTTCATCACAGAAAAGTCATTAAGCATGAATATTGATAAACTCTGATATTGAGCTATCACGAACCCCCTACATTCAATCTGGTATAAACCCTTCTCCCCATATCTGTGAATGTCCCGGATAGTTGCCCATTGCTCATTCCCTAGTTCTGATATGTCTTATTAACGTTACTGGATAAATTGTCGATGCCAGCACGCTTTGAGTTAAGGCAGCTTGGTTTCAGAGTCTGGTAAATCACTGGCGATTTCCCTTGCTTCAAAACTCATAGTTGTGGTAATCCTATCAAGGCTGATGCTTTTCAATATATCTGAATTCCTTAGCTATCAACCTGATGGGGGATTTGCCAATCGATACCCGTCGTCTCTTGTCTGGCAATATGTGATGATCTCTAGTGATGGCGTTTTCTTCCCACATTAAATACCCAACAAGGTCTTGTCGACGTCGCTACATAGGCGGCGGGTATCACTTGACCTTTTGTATCTTTATACCTAGGTACTTACATAGATACCTGGTAGTCAAGGATCAGTGATTGTGTAGTCCTCGCCCAACACCTGGGTAGTGAGTTTGCTCCCGCCCTATGGGATTTGTTGAGCTATAGTAGCCCCCGCCATGTTTACCATTTGATTGCCATAGGTACCTACCTAGGTAGCTGAGGTCTAGGTCCCTGACCGTCTTCCGGACCCTTCCGGACCTTGTGCTACTGCCGCTCCGCGGCCCCTTGAATAATCGGGTTCCGGTAGCTATTTCCTGGTGGATGGTGAATAACTCGCTCGGAGGCAGGCCGCGTGGGTCTCGCGGGTCTCGCGGAGCCTCATGACTACTATCAGGCGGGAGCACACGGGTCTACCGGGCCCCTTCCGGACCCCTTCCGGATGGTACTCCCCTCCTCCGGGGCCGCTTTCCGGCCCCTTCCGGTCCGCTTTCAGGCTTGGAGCCGCCTTTCAGATAATCACTAGACCAACTATGACATCGTCAGCATGCATTCCGGCCTGTACATACTGCTCGTACTTGCCTTAGTACTGAAGTATTTTACTGATCCTCCTTCAGAAAGTTTTAGTCCCTCCCACAATCAGAACTTATAAATACCCCTCCAGGGAATTCCTTTCTTCTTAACTTTCAACTTTCCTCCTCACACCATCCATCTTTCATTTCCTCTCACCACCAACTTTCCTTTTTCCCACACCAAAGCTTTTCATCTGCATATGAAATTCCATCCTGTAAACATCAAACCTTTTCATATTCACGCATACACGTAGCTCTGATAGCCCTAGACTCACAAGGACACGTCAAAGTCATTGATTTTATCGATCAATAACGTGTCTTGCGGTCCCTGGGCTCCCCATTTCCTTTTTTCCTACTCACGCACACCCACCTTCACGTAAATCTTTGTGTTTTGTGGACGTGACCTTTTCTTCCTCTCATCACCTAGTATCATCTGAGCATATATTGCTCACCATCTCATCATACACCTTACTATCCATTTCATTTCTCTGTACTTCGATTCAATCGTATTCTGAGTTGAATCTGCTATCATGCCGCCGAAGTCGGCTAATCCGCGTAAGCGAGCTCGCCAGGACTCCGGCGCAGCCGGTAGTCAAACGACGTTGGACAACTTTGTTAAGAAGCCTCGTACTTCCCCCAATGGGGAAGAATCCTCAACGAAGAATGGAGGTGAGGCGTCTTCCGACAAGTCGAAGAGGAGAGTAGGTGGTCGCAACAATCAACTAAACCGAGACCTACCACCAATCTCGAACATCGACGCCGCATTCTTGGACATGGCAACGAGGTCGGCCGGTCTTCTTGACAAGGTACGTATCTGACTAAAAGATATCCTTGCTCTCGCCCCTCTGATGATGAAACACCGAGTTACTAATAGACGAGTAGAAAAACGGGACTATTGCCATAAATGTCGCGACCATGTGCTCTGGCACAGAAGCGCCCATTAAGTTCCTCGAGTCGATTCGGGACTTTTGGGAGCGGATACAACCGGGAAGACAATTTCTTCAATTCGAGCATGTCTTCAGTGTCGAGTGTGAGGATTTCAAGCAAGCGTACATCATACGAAACACGGAGACGACGCTGTTCGATAACGTAGTAGATTTTGTTAGACCTGAAGGCGGAAAAGCGTAAGCTTAGTTCAACCTCATGATTATTTGTCCATATAACTGACCGAGCATGTAGACCCACAGCTATGGGATCACTCGAGAATA